GCCATTATTTATGTTCCTTTATTCTTGTCGCGAGTCTTCTTCCCGTTTCTCCAATGTATGTTTTGTTGCAGGAACACAGAATTTCATAAATGACGTTTTTCTGTTTTTTGTTGGTAGGTTTCTGTTTGTTCTTCACCAGGATGGATCTTAGTGTTTTGTAAGATTTCCACCTGACGTCTATGTTGAATTTCTTAGCTTTTCGTTTAAGTTTTTCACTGACATTTTTCAGGTATGGGAGGTATATGGTTGTAGTGGTTTCTTTATTTTTCTTTTCTGTTGTGGTCTTCTTGAGGGAGTTCTTGATGAAGGAAGAGATGTAACCATTCTGTTTAAAACACTGCATGATGTTTTGGCATTCTGTTTCGATGGATTTGTTATCACAAATGCACAAAAATATAGCCACATGAAAGTACTACATGATTAACCCTTTCACTTCGGGTAGGTCAAAGTGTGCATGCCACAACCTATCAGAGAGTTACATTCAAAATTTAATTAAACTACTTTATTGTCGATTTATATGAATAAACTCAGCATCAGAACGTAGATAATAAGTCAAAGTTTAGTATTATTTAAGTTTTAAGTTCTTAATTATATAAGGAAATAAAAAAAATCGCAATCTCCCCTAGTATAAGAACTGTGACGTTTGTTATCTAGGTATTCCCTCTTCTCTAATGTTTTTACCACCCCTCCGAGAAATACGAAATTTAAAGTAAATTACTCATTATAATGTTTTCATTGCTCAGGCAAAGCATAATTTACATAGCTTTCAATCTGATTTAATTACAGAGCAATAAAACATAAAATCAGACCTCTCTTGCCACGCTCACCTGTCACATACTTTCTTTTAGAACTTGCCAATAGTTCTCTTTGACATTTAATACTATATTATTTATAACCAGTAGAAAGCCAAAGTTTTCTCTGTCAAATAACATGTAGTAAATATGTAACGTACATTGCAACTAAAGTTTTCATTTACACTGAAGTCCTTTTCTGAGTTTATTAAATTTTACTTGTGGGACCCTTGAAATCTCACTTGGACTCTTGAAAAAAAAAGAGTTGAAAGTCTGGGACCCTGATGAGAACGCTGCAAAATATACAAACATTTTGGCCAGGACTGTACCTTTAGCTCAGTTGAATAGAACATTGGCCCTATTAACCAAAAGTGTCCTGGATTGAAGCCCTACTCCTGGTGTTTCTTTTCACTTGACAATTTTTTTTATTCAAAGTATTTTTTTTAGGAAGTTTACGTTCAGTGATTCATGCTATGGATTAATAATTAATTAAATATAGTAATAAAATAGATATATATGTGAGCCTAGTTAGACTCTTATGATTTAGTTGGATGGTGGTAAATCAACCCACTTATTGCCTAACCACAATAACATAAATGTCTAGCTCAGTTGGATAGAGCATTGGCCCTGTTAGTCAAAGGTCCTTTGGTTCAAGGCCTAGTCCTGGAGTTTCTTTTCATTTAACAGCTTTTTCATTCACAATTTTTCTTAGAAAGTTTACTTTCAGTGATTCCTCTTATAAATTAATTATATATATATATATATATTTCATTTCTCTGCACACGAACACAAAATTTTCTAGTTTCAATCCTGCCTTTTTTATTTACTAGAATACCTTTTTCAGATTTTCAGCTGCAGACTCCAACATGCGACCAAACACGACGACATCATTCATGAGATATGAACTTTTCTTATTGCAGTCACTTTAATGTAAGCTCCATTAGCCTCTTAAAAGTGACGGGTGCAGTACACAAGCTGAATGCTATGATTTAAAACTAATATACGTCATCTCTCATGCTAAAAGCAGTCTTAAGTCTGCTTGAATCATCCATATGGACTAATCAGTATGCAGATTCCAGGTTAAATTGTTGAACTATTTAACCCCTTCCAATGGGTCCCGACATTCTTCCATTCATGGCACTAAAAAGACATCATAGTGAGTTTTCACTTTCACCTGTTTACTATCAATATGGAACCTGGACATACCTTCCTTTTGTCTGAAAATAAGTAATGCAGATAATTAAGCACTCTCCAAAGACTGTATATGATTCCATCCTTTAACATCTATTATTTCTTAGCATTGGCTACATCTCTAATACTCCAGAAAAGCCTGCATGGAAGTTTTCTAATTGAGCATACATCACCTGTATTTATGTAATGTGTGACTCAATTATTCATCTAGTCTCACAAATACATTGGTATATTCAGCTAACAAGTCACTGAATTGCTGCTGTTGCATGGAGTCTAGATTGTTTACATAATTGTGAAATGTGTTTATCCATGTGTTTATTTTTAAATGTGGCATAATGGATTTAACCCAAGTACTATAACTAGCCTCAACTACTTCCATTTGATCAACATGCTGATGACAATTCCAATGGGAGATTGAATAACCAGTTCTTCATAACTGCAGAACAACATCAGGATTTCCCCTCCTTCACAGATAAATGCCCGAGGTAATGCTACTTGCTTTCTGGAGAGGGAATTATATATTTCATATGTGGGCTCTATAACTGAATATCCAAGGTTGCCAATACCAGAATTGAGGTCACTGATAATTACTTCAGAACATAGCCTTTTCATTCATGTCTAGTCTATTTCCATTTGCCAGAATAAAATCCATGAAAGCTGGTTCAAGTGGGGGTTTGCTTGGAGTGTCTGATATACTAAAATCACTACTAGTGTTCTGGTTACTTTCTGGTTTCTAGTATCAGCCATAAACTATACAAGAAGGGGTGAGATAGCTCTACTCTTTCACTAGATATTACTATGGGTGCATTACAAAACCAGGATGTTGGGGTAGTTGTTTGACCATCAGCTTGTTTCCACTCTTGTGTAGTGTGAATGTCTGGGATAGAATAATCCATTTGAGGTAAATTCACTTCAGTGGCTGTTAGAGGCCCTTTTCTTTCTTGTGACCAGCTCTAAGATATTACTTCATACCACACAACGACAAAAACTGTCTTGGTAAAGACGAGAATATCTCTCACACTCAGGAAATGCTACATTGTTTCCCTGGATAGTTCTTCCACAAACTTGTCAATAAGGATATCCTCAAGATTCACTGAGACTATTGCATGCTAACACAATGCGAACACTGCAGATATAAATATAAGCAGTTAAGCTTTGCATGATACCACTCTTCTGAGCCTTGAATTTGGCCCAATGAAATATGTTGTTTTCCTTTGGTACAAATCTTTGGCACAACTCACTAATATCTGTCGCACAGCCCCAGTGATGTGTCCCATTCAAATGCTTGATGAAGTCCATGGCAAGACTGTTTAAACTCAGAACAAGGCATTGTATAACATTTTCTAGAGTCCAGTCATTCCAGCACTTACCTGCATTAAATGCTTCAGGAAATGGTCCCAATCCTCCTCTTATGCACCTTTCATAGACTGATACGTTTCACCATGGGAACCATGATCATGACTAGTCGCTCTCCTTCCCGACTTCCTGGCTATCATCTGACCAAGATGTCTTCAATATCTTGGTGCTGAGCATGGTAAGGATTCTCAAGGCCTCTGACACTGTTAAGAGTAGTAGGACTGCTCTATGGTGTCAGAATGACGAGGCGAACTTGACAGGTTCTACTCACCCTCAAGCTCCTCTGTGGTTCATGGATACTTTCAGAGTACACCTCTCGTTTTGAAGAAGCTCACTACTGCCTCATGATCCATATATTTTACCATTTGTTACATGCCATCTTACATAATGATAAAATAGTTCTGGTTGGTTCGACAATCTCCACCAACAGCACACCAAGTCTCTCTCTCTGATGTTTTACATTACTTCAAACAGAGCTAGAATTGTATTACTCTAGGTAGCTTAAGTATGGGGCTTATATAGACTGATCTACCCAATGCTACATCATCATGAAGATCCTTGGTCATTGGTCTGCATTGAGATCAGTCCTCAGAGAAATAGCATGGACAGCCATTTTACCTCAGATATCTGTAGTTCTTCTTCTTGAGTCATCATTTTTAGCGTGATAGAAGTCGTGGCCCTTCACAGCACTGGCTGACATAAGAGAGGACTTCTCCAGGCCTGAAAATTCTCGAACAACCATCTCCCCTCAGTGGCTGACTCCTTCTCTTCAAAAACCTAAGACACTCGTTCAAGTTAAACTATGATGTCATAACTCTACAGTCAGTTACACGACAATGACTGACGTTGAGCTTAATCCTGAGTTGATTTTTTATTTATTTTTAACAGAGAGATATGTAAAGTATTGTAAATATGTGACATCCAATATGCCGAGCTGCAATGTGCTTAACTGGAGAAATATAAACAAAGGAGTGATGAGAATAGAGTAGTTGTCCACGTGACACTGTACAAGCTATACTTTGTAGACGCTTGATAGTAGTAGTAGTACTAGAATTTAGCTATATAATCATTAATTTGTAATGTAGAGTTATAAAACATTGCTCTCTCTCCATTCAGCGCGTATATGTCATTTGTCCAGTCTTGTGCTATGTATAATGTTTGAATAAACAGTTATTGGAAACCCACAACATCTCTTTATTGTGCTGAGATGGTAGAGGTTAATGTTGATGTCCTGGATTCGTCTACATTTAGGAAACATTACAATGGGATGGCTTTGTTATCTAATATAAACAAAATATTTTATATTCAAATTATACCGCTACAGATTAAGAGAACAAAAACCCAAAAACTTAGTCGTAAAGTTAGATATCTTCAAGATATATTTTGCCACGAAAGAGTACAAAATTATACGTAAAATGAAAATTTGCAGTACCAAAAAACTGTTACAACTGATTTTATTTGTCTGTCTAAAGAGAAAAGGAAATTAATAAATGTGAATAACTAAGATATGACAACAGAATTCTGTGTTTGTTAACTTACTTGTTATTATCTAGTTTTTTAGTGTAATATTTGTTTATAGATTGAAAATTATTACAAATCTGATTCTCAATATTATTTCATGATAGATTAAGCAATTTTAAGTGAAATCGCCCTCTAGGAGCAAAATCTGCGGTCGCGGTTCGGAGTTTATAGCAAAGTATTTTGTTGGACTAGAGTTAATATTGTAATTAAGGAATTGAACACTTTTTTTATTGTATAGTTTTATTATTAATTTATAGTTAATGATAATTAGTTTGTTATTCTGTGCTAAACGTTAACGGATCATGAGTAAGAATCCAAATATCACTACTAGTACTAGTGATATTACACATGACGTACTGGCGGATGACTTCGATGACCTTACATTGTCATCTCGAGTTGGTGGAACACTTTGTTTTACAGACGGAAGTGTCGCTGATGGATTATCTACCCAAAAAGAATCAGAAACTACAAAAACTATAAGTAAATAATAGTTTTTGTTATTTTTAATTATTTAAGCCTATTATACTATATAATTCATATAAATATCATTATATAACTTATCACTGTAAAATTAAAATTTTTATGTGTAAAACAGACCAATAAATTCAAACTTGGCAGGAACTGAGAGTGAGAGAGAAATTAGCGATTATTTGTTAACTTACTGTTGACTTGTCTTAATTCACTCTCTGTAAGTGTAATAATAATAAAATTTGACAAAAATATAGATAAAATGAGCATTCAAATCTCTCTTCCTTTCGTTAAAGTTTATGTTGAAAAAGGTTCATATTTCATATGAGCTTCACCCATTGAAGCTCATATGGAGTTGTAGAACATAGCTTTTAGCAAAATTTTTTGAATACCATACTTTATTGCTAAAGAATATTAGTCATGATAATATTAAGAAAGTGGAAATAATGTCAGCTTAAAACACTATAGATGTGCTTGCATGTATATTCAACAAATATGTATGTGATTCTCATGTTTCTTGTATTATACTTAGCGGTACAGCAAATTATAGCTTTTACATAATGCCAGAAAAAGGTGAAGCACTCCTCCAGTTCTTACACTTCAAGGAATAACATATTCCATATCTCAAGTTGTAAAACCGAGAGTGGTTTTTTGACTCACTTTATGAAGAATATACAGTTGTGTTTTAAATGGTTAACAAAAAAACTCAGAGGTAGACATTTTAAGTCTTTGTATAATATTTAGATGAGATTGAATTTTATTATTTTACAGTTGTGGAATTATATATGTCTGGAGACCTAGTTGTATTTAAATCTTTGGAAATTAAAAGACTGATAAATCTGTTAAGGAGACTGTGTTATATTTCAGTTTTTATTACTTTGTTGTTATTGACTCTTAAGCAGTTTCCTCTGATATAATCTTGTGCAAGAACAGAACTTCCTCTTGGGCTCAATATTGGTCTAATTCTGTTGTTGGTAAATTTACCTAGTCTTTGTTCCTTTTTCTCTGTTCCACTCATCTGCTGTATTGATGATGTAGAGTGCTGGTTAGACCTCATTTTGATTATTATGTTCAGTTTTGATTATGTTATTTAAAAAAGATGTTTATTAATTGGAAAGGGTTCAGAGACAAGTTTAGAAGATGATTTTAGGTTTGGGCGAGTTACCATTTAATATAACACCTGGACAACAAGAGATGATGTGGCTCTTAATTAAGTTTAAGGCTGCCACTACATACCCATCTTTGTGAAAAGGAAAAAATTAAATATGATGTGTGCAATTGTTTTTTTCGAAGAAGTTACTTATTTTGATTTTAAACTATTACAAAGTGCTGATCTCTACTACAGGCCATGGCAACTCATTCCACTAAAAAAGTAAAACTGTCTTAACTGCAGCCTAGCCATCTTTTCCAAATCTTAAACTTGTGTTCTCTCATGCTATTTTATTTACAGTATAGCACAAAGAATTCAGAGGCCTTTATCCTACTGATCACCCAGATAATATATTAAACTTCAATAAGATCACTTTTTCTCAAGAGAAAATAAGTTAACAGATCTTAGATATTAACTGTCCCCATAAGATAATCCTCCAATTTTCAGAATCATCGTAGTAGCTCTGAACCCTCTCAAATAACTCGGTAACCTTTCTTAGATAAAGTGACCAAAATTTTACACATTATTCAAAGTGAAACCCAACTAGTGATTTGTATAAAGACTTACATTAACTTTGTGGACTTCTAATTGGTATGTCTATAAATACATCTTAAAATTAACTAGTAACTTTTCCACCACAGTATGCCAAGATTTTTTTCTTCAGTTGTGCTCTTGGGTTAGATTAAAATCTCTTGAAGGTTTTTTTGTTAGAGAGAAAAATATCTCAAAGACAAGTGATTGAGGTTTTTAAAATTATTAGAGGTTTGAAATCCATAAATTCAGATGACATTTTCACAAAAAAATAAAAACTACAGGCAGTAAGACTAAAGAGCACAAGTTTAAAATATGGATAACTGAGTTAAAGTAGTGTTAGTCTTGTAACAGAATGATTAGCTGTTGAATAGTTTGCTGTCAGATGTTGAATTTGCAATACTGAAAGAATTTAAGAGAAGATATGAGGAGTATTTTAGAGATGTGTTAGAAAAATAGAGTAAAATAACATTGAAGAAAGAGTTTGAAGGGAAATATGGAGTGTGTTGACAGTTTTGCTGCTAGCATCAAAGAGCATTTTTTTTGGTGCATGTAGAAGCAAATGATGTTGGAAGTTATGAATCAGAAGTGTTGCTTACAAAATATAAAAAACTTCTTCATAGGTTTAGGTATAAAAGTAGATGACTGGTGTGTGGTCCTTTGGGCTATATGTGGGAATAAATTACTTCGTAGGTCCAAGGCTTAAATAAAATATCATCAAGAATATGCTTAGAGCAACAGATGAGGGCAAATTATAATATATGCTGCTATAGCTGGGCCCCACTTAAGCAGGCTAGGTAGCAAGATGTTCAAGAAAGCTATAAAGAAATTCTTTAAAAACAGTTTAAACTAAATTTGTATAGTTGTGAAGTAGTATGAGGTATTGGAATAAACAAATTGATAGGATAGCTAGGGCAACAAGGAGATTATAAGAAGATATAAAAAAAAAGTTATTAAATTCAAACATAAGTCTGTTAGATCTGAAGATAACCTTAGCTGCTGTTATTCTAAATGTTAGAAGTATCGGGGCTCAGGTTGAAATGGAAGACCAGAAAAGATGTTTTAGGTCATTAATGTGGTGTGGGCATTCAAGTGCAAAAGCACAACTCCATTTTAGAGTGGTGGTGTATGTGTGTGTGGGAGTCCAGGGAATGCTCCCCCTCCACCTATTGAAAAAATTTGAAAAAAAGGAGCAAAATGGTATCTTCTAAGCTGTATATTATTGTCAGAACAAGTTTAAAACCTATATCTGATGGTAACCTTTCAATACTGGAGTCACCAGTGCTTTTGTCAGTTTAGGTATCATGAGTTTTGCTAACAGGATTCTTTGTTGAGTTTAATTGACCTAATGCTTAAGTTATGCCCAATAAAACAAAGTTGTGAGATGTATTATGATTGTATTATTATTTACAGATTATTATAATACAGTATGTACATAAATGTGGTCTGGGTATATTCCTAAAACATTTTTACATGCATATCTAAAATTTTACAGACTTAAGAGTACCGAGTATTATCACACCAAAGTTATAATCTAGAAATAAAGCACTTTATTTTAAAAAAATCTAGGGGGGGTTTGTCCCTGCACTATGGGTAGAAAACCAGTGGAAGTTTATGTTTTAATGGAAATTATTCCATCTTGATTAGATTTGGAGAATTATTTTGAAACTCTATAAGTTATTTAATGAAGTTACACTTTTTAAAAGTGGAAGTGGGGTAGTATGAGGTGAATTTGTTTATGTAAGGAGTAAATTGCATCCTGTTGGGAATAAAGAAAAAACTAGGTTGGCAAGAGTTAAATCTATAGGGGTTATATAGATAAATAATAGACTTGCTCTAAGGGGTTTCAAAGGTTAAATTTTTTAATTGCAATTGTAATAAGTCACCTTAAGTTATCTGACAGATGATATCTATGAGGAATTGTAAAACTATACTGAGATCGTCATTGTTACTAAGAAGAACACTGACTTAATAATAATGGGAGGCTTCAATTTTAAACATACTGATTGGAATTGCTTGGACTTAATTTTTCTCCTTCACTACTTATTTGAAATGGTTCAGGATGCTTTCTATACAAAATCTTCAGAAAGCCAACTGTAGGTGATGCAGTTTTAGATATAGTGTTAAACAATAATGAGGATATAGTTGTTGCTTTTAAAATTTGAAGTGGGGAAGATTTGGTGAAAGAATGAATTGCACAATTAGGTCTGATGTCTTATAACATGTTGAGGTTAATGGAATACTAGTTTCTAAGCTTTAGAAAGTCAGTTGTGAGGCCATAAGTCAATAATTATCACTAGTGAATTTGGATAAAATTTAGGTATGGGAAATTTTAAAAAATGCTTTTAATTGAAGATAGGCATGTTCCTAAAAAAGAGGAAAAGGATAACAAAGAAGATCAAACTCAATTGGCTTACTAAAGATGTGAAGGAGAAAATAGAGGATTAATACCAAAAGGGTACAGGTCTTAAATTGACATATAAGTGGAAGTTTTACAGAACTGCAGTAAATTTAAGTAGTTGGAAAGGTTTTGGAGAGTGTGTTTAAAGATGTATTGCAGAGTCACTTAACTATTTCAGCACGGACTTGGTCCCTGTGACTTACCTCGTAACCATTTTGTGCTTGTTATAGTTTTCATGCTATAACTTTTAAATTAGGAAGCGAATATTAATGAAATTAGGTACATTATCAGTAAATATTACAATGCTTTCATGTGCAAAATATAATTTTTTTATTATTAAGTCTTAAGATTTGTAAAACAATGTTTTTCTCATGCCTTTTTTTTTCTTTTCACATGTTACCTATCCAACATGCAAAGTAATTTTCATTTTAAGATTAAAAATACTTTTATGCATCAGAAAATTTTAAAATTTCACATGAGAAATCTTTATAAGGTCCAGATAGTTATCAAATGTTTATTAAGAAAAAACAATATTTTTATCTGTTATTTTCACTAATGAATCTCTGTACTGGTTTGGTAGATTTGACTGATTTTGTAACCACTACAAAAAATTAGGAAATAAATATAAATTATGCCTCTTTCTTTCTTAGAATGAACACAGATTATAACATGAAAACAATAAATGTTTAGACTAAATAGCTTAAATCTCAGAACATTATACATTTATATATATATATATATATATATTTATTTATTTATTACATTGACCTTTCAGCCATGCTTGGCTAACAATACTGAAGTTATAATGATGCAGCACACGTGCAATTAGGTTACCGTATCCAACAATATAAAGTAACTTGTTTTGGCTGTGTTTCAGTAGACTAGTATTTTGTAAAATATAGTCACATTTTAATTATTGTATATGTATAT